GACCTGAGGACTGCCAGGCGGAAGTGCTAACCATTTAGCCACTGTGCATACGAACTTTAAGGCCATCCCAGTCTTAGTCCGTAGGGTTCAATATTGAGTTGGCCCCGCCCTTTGCACCTATAACAGCTTCAACTCTTCTGGGAAGGCTGTCCACAAGGTTTAGGAGGGTGTCTATGGGAAGGTTTGACCATTCTTCCAGAAGCACATTTGTGAGGTCAGGCACTGATGTCGGGGGAAGAGGCCTGGGTCACAGTCTCTGAACTAATTCATCCCAAAGGTGTTCTATCACGTTGAGGTCAGGACTCTGCAGGCCAGTCAAGTTCCTCCACCCCAAACTCACTCATCCATGTCTTTATGGACCTTGCTTTGTGCACTGGTGTGCAGTCATGTTGGAACAGGAAGGGGCCATCCCCAAACTCTTCCCACAAAGTTGGGAGAATGAAATTGTCCAAAATGTCTTGCTATGCTGATGCCATATAGGAAGAGCCTCATCCTGCCCAATTTCATTGTGTTGTGGCACTGAGGCCATCGCAAAATCATTAGACAACCCAGGGATGATAAGAGTTCCTAGCAAGATGGTCATGTGATTTATGATGGTTTGTTTTTTTTTTTTTTTTTTTTTTTTAGGGTTTTTTTTTTTCGTTTTTGTCATTTAATTGCAGTTTTTAGAAATTTTATTTATTATTTTATTACAGGTACTTATATAATGCCATCAATTTACACAGCGCTTTACATATATATTGTACATTCACATCAGACCCTAACCCTCAAGGTGTGTAAAATCTAAGGTCCCTAACTCACATTCATACACATAATAGGGACAATTTAGACAGGATCCAATTAACCTACCAGCATGTCTTTGGAATGTGGGAGGAAACCAGAGTACCCGGAGGATACCCACGCAGTCATAGGGAGAACATGCAAATTCCAGGCAGGTGGTGCCATGGCTGAGATTCAAACCAACGACCCTAGTACTGCCAGGAGAAAGTGCTAGCCATTTAGCCACTAAATTTTAGTTTTGTTTGTTTTAAGTGGTTGTAAACCTTCATTTTGTTAATTTTTTTGGAGACAGTAAACATGTTGTTGTGCTTACCTGCTCAGTGCAGTGGTTTGTGCACAGAGCAGCCCCGATCATCCTCTTCTGGGGTCCCACCCCAGTTCTTCCTCTTAGGCGAGCGCCCCCTAGGAAGCCACTTCTTATGGGGGCACTCGTGCGGGCTCAATTCTGAGACGCGTTGCCTGTTTCTATTGACACAGACAAAGTCACTCATCCCCACCCCCTTGTCACATGATTTGATTGACAGCAGTATTAGCCAATAGCTCCTGCTTCTATCAATCTGCCCTGTGAGGAGAGTAGAGAGAGATGTTGCTCTCATGCACAGTGCTGGATCGGGATCAGGTAAGTATAAGGGGGCACAGAAAGTTTTACACTTTAATGCAGAGAATGGATTAAGGTAAAAAAACCTTGAGCTTTTAGAACCACAGCCCTTCTCTGAGATAGAAATCTCCCTTCCCACCCCCACCCCTCCCTAACTGATCTCTGTAGTAACAATAAAATAAATAAATAACAGGTAAATAGCCTTTTTATTTTTTCTGAAGCCACAATATCATGACACCACTGGTCCAAGTCTTCTCTTTTGCTTACATCTTATGCTTACATCCTGGAGGGTTCCTTCATTGGGTGTCCATCATGTCGCTTCTGATTGAATAGTGGCTCATGGAGTCCTCCCAGGAGAGAGACATGGACAGTGTCAGCATAGCGGGGGGGGGGGGGGAACAGGAGACCAGTATTTTTGGGGAGCCATCCCCTGCACTGGAACTGGCAGCAGTGGGGGACCTGGATTAGTTAGAGGTAGCAGGGAGGGAGGTATGGTGAACCTTGTAGTTTTTGCCCTGAATTGGGCTTTAACCTCCCTGGAGGTATTCCCGAGTGTAGCTCGGGGTAAAGTTTCAGCACCACAAGTGGTAACCCCGAGCTACACTCGGGAATACCCTGCAGCGCTGCTCCGGGATCCCTTCCCTTGTCCTGCGCTCCCACGATGTCCCCCTGCAGTGTCCCCAGCGATCTCCTCCGGCCGATGCCGGCATCCGTCTTCCGGGTTCCGTTCCCTGTGACGTCGGGACGTACCGGGGACGGAACCAGTGGGAAATTTAAAAAAGTGACACTCACTCAATACACTAAAATCACATAGTAAAACATTACTGTATCAAACCATTTCACATACATTTTGTCCCGAGTGCTTTGTCCTGTGCCCTGCCTGCATTTTTAATGTTCTTTCTGCCTGGAAACTGAGAAACGTCCATGGCGTCCAAAAAGCGTCCCCTTAGGCCAAAAGTGGTTTTAGACCAGCTAGAGAACAGCGATAGTAAATTAGAACTACTTGCAGAATTGAGTGATAATGATTCGTGGGGGAAATTCGTCATCAGACACTGAAAACGATTTTGCGACTAAGATCAGTGATGTGCGAACTTGGAGCTCTATTTCAAATTTCAGTGTTTTAGGTTTGATTATATTATTGAATTAAATTTATTATTATATCATTATTTTTTATGATTATTTATTAAATTATAATTTATGATTTCGTGATTCAAAGTTTAACATACCCGGGATGTTTACTAGACTCTTGTTCAGACAGATTTCTGTGAGTTATTCTTAAGAATTACAGGCCTACAATAAAAAAAATACATATTTCCATGCAAAAAAATGTACTGCTTTGAGCACAGAAATATGGACATAATCAGACCGCTAGGGAGGTTAAGGCACCTGCAAGAGTAAATAGAAAATGCCTTTTCTGACTTTTGTATTTGAAATTATCTTAATCACTACATATTGACCTGCTGATTTGAAGCAAGCACATCGATATTTTGTGTTGTAAAACACAAGCTGGCTATACACCAGTGTATTTTGTTCAAAAATTTTGGAGCATTCATTCAATTTCCTAATGGTTAGGGGGATGAATGTTCATCTTCGACTGTAGTGATTAGAAGATTCAAAGGAGCAAGATGGGAAACTTTTCTGAAACAAATGAAATTCTAACTATGAATCTGGTTTTCATTTGGGAAAATATGTTCATAGTGTAATGGAACGTGTTTAATACATCTGGGATCCCATTCAAATAGCTGATCTGGAAGAAATATTTAGGGCTTTCGAACAATATTAGTTGCTCCATGATGAAATCAAGAAAGAACGTTCTGACGCATGATTTTATTTAGAAGTTCTGAATTTCGTATGAAGGGTTTGAACGAAAATCTAACTGCATATAACCAGCTTTTACTATGCACTTGTTTACTCTGGGCTGGGGACTTGCTTAAGCTGGCCATACACAGCTCTATATTAGGGGCTTAACAAGAGAAACCTAAATACATTTGACTAGCTCAATGGTTACAGATGTGGAGCATGCACCCAGTGGTGTCTCTAGGCGGGTGCGGGGGGTGCGCGCTGCACCGGATGACACTGGACCCTCTCCACGAACTCCACAAAAAGGAAAGTTTTAAAGCAAGCTGACGATCCCCACAAGATGGATTGGATCTGCGGATTGAGCATAATGGATCGGAGTCCGATCCATTATGCTCCCCAATCTGCAGATCCGATCCATCTTGCGGGGATTGTCGGCTTGCAACCTATGTGGGGTTAACTGATCTAGGTAAGGCGGTGCAAGATCCAGGACTTGTCTGTAACCAGGAAATGCGGCCGCCGCGAATAGCAGGAACCTCCTCCATCTGACTTCACTTCTCGAGCATGTGCAGACCGGACCGATGTTGAAAGATTAGTTAACCCCGTATAGGTTGCAAGTGGACGATCCCCGCAAGATGGATCGGATCTGCGGATTGGAGAGCATAATGGATCAAACTCCGATCCATTATGCTTAATCCACAGATCCGATCCATCCTGATTGTCCGAGGGGTGACACCAAGTGTTACCGCACCGGGTGGCACCAACCTAGGGACGCCCCTGCATGCACGTTTAGTGATGCCTGACTCCTGTATTTCTATCCTGGCCAGTTGTCTTTAAAATGTAAGTTCCTGCTTCTTCATGGAAAAAAAATATAAAAACAATAGATGCTTAAAGCGACCCTGTTGCTATAACTAGGTTTCCAAGGGAAGGTCTACCTGTGTAAGAAAAGTGTATGTACTTAACTTTCCTTCAGCCCTTGCTGCTTACTGCCCCCTCACTGGTTCCTGCTGCAGACCTGCACATCCTTACTGCCTCTGGAAATGTTATGACAGTAGGCAGGAGGACACAGTAAGAACTGTGGCAGACCAAGGTGATCAACACTGGATTTCTCAAGGGCTCCACCCATCCTCTGGAACTCCCTTCCCCCAAGCTATCAGGCTATCGCCTACTCTGCTCACCTTTAGGCGCACTCTGAAAACCCATCTCTTCAGGGAAACCTACCCGGCCCCCAGCTAATACTGAAATCCACTACTCCTCCTACTACTCCATCCCCCACAGCTAATTACCTCTTGTACCACCATCCCCTCCCTCCTAGATTGTAAACTCTAATCCCTCTTGTATTGAACTGTATTGTTACTGTATTGTCTCCCTCCATAATGTAAAGCTCTGAGCAAACTGTTGGCGCTATATAAGTCCTGTATAATAATAATAAATAACAATAAGTGTTCTTGCAAGAACACTTAATAACAACACTGCTGGAAATGCCTGTTTCCTAGAGAACTTCATGGAGGTGATTTGTCATGAATTGTGGGACTAGAATTAAAAACCACTGGATCAGTTGGAAATCAGAGCATGCCTCCTGAGTTGCTGTTTTTACTCCTTGCTTTATCTGTATGGACTGACTGGCTCTTGAACTTCCCGTGTATTTGTCCACCTTTTGGTAATCAGTTTTTTAGATCTGCAAAGTGCAGTATGTAGAGATAACTGAGGGATGGAAATATCATGAATCAATATTGTTACGTGTGAATATGCGGTATTCTGTGTCGATTAGCATGTAGTATGATAATGTCCATTCATCTTTCCTGTTTTCTGTCTTGTGTACTAGGTCGTAGGATTATACCGGCTCTGTGGATCAGCAGCGGTGAAGAAAGAACTGAGAGAGGCATTTGAGAGGGATAGTAAAGCTGTGGAGCTTTGTGAGAACGAGTACCCAGACATCAACGTGATAACAGGTATTCATGCCAGCCAACATCCTGCACAATTGTTTGATTATATTGCGTGTGATATAGCTAAACAAGCATAGTGGTTATTGCTTAGGAGATAATGTTGGTTTTATTACCTTTTGCTATAAAATTAATCTGGCAGGACATCTTCCGAGATTGTGTTAACAACCTGACATGTTTATTCTGGTCATATGCTGGGCTTTGCTAGAACAGCTCCCCCATCCTCGCATTACCCCTTGGCCTTGTAGTAATCACTTTAAAGGGTGTAGCTAAGATTACTCCAAAGAGTCTCTGAGAGGGTTCTCCTCCTCCTCCTCCTGCACTTTCAGGCCTTCTCTCTTTTTCCATGGACACGAGTGGATACATAATTATGGGACAGGGAGTTCCGAAAGTAGAATGGACAGTGCTGTGCACAGGTGTGGTCAAATAGAAAGCTGTGGAAATAACGCTGCCCAAAATGTACAGTGCTGCATTAAAGTAAAGAAAAAAAAAAGATGTTTTCAGCTGGTTTGGTGCCAATTTACCTTGACTTTTGCTAGTTAATTGCCATTCTACTTTTATAACTTTTTTTTTTTTCCTTGAGCAGACTTTAGTTCAACTTTAAATTGGGCGGTCTTCTGGCTGGTCATGTGAAGTCCCAGGATCCTCTTCCTATAGTGGCGGTGGACGGTCTTTAATACTTCATAGAGCAGCGCTAATGTTCTGACCTTAGCGCTGTAGCAGATTAAAAGCTCTTTTTGCTGGGTATTTCTTTAACTGGTTCCCAACTGTGCTATAGCCGACGTCCTCCCAGAACATGCCCCCAGCGGTGCGCACCCAGTGCTGTTGGTGATTGCTGTGTCCTATGGACACGACTGATCACGTGATAAGGTAAAAGGCCAATCACAGCGGCCTTTTACCACGTGATCAGCTGTGTCCAATGACACAGCCGATCACCAGGTAAATACAGTTGCCGGTCATCGGCTGCACTTTCCTCATGCTGTCACTGCGTGAGGAAAGTACTGCCAATAGCTGGCAGATGTTACAGGAGAGATCTGCACTAATAATCAGTGCCCAGCAATGCCGCCCATCAGTGCCCAAGAGTGTCGCCCAGCAGTGCTGCCCATCAGTGCCGCCGGGCAGAGCCTCCAGTCGGTGCTATTAGTCAGTGCTGCCAATCAGTGCCCATCATTGCTGCATATCAGTGCGCCTCATCAGTGCAGCCTCATCAATGCACATCGGTGAAGGAGAAAAATTATCTGTTTGCAAAATTTTACAATAGAAACAAAGAAAAACGTTTTTGTTTTTTTTTAATTTTTGCTCTTTTTTTCATTTATAGCTCAAAAAATAAAACCCCTAGTGGCGATTAAATACCACCAAAGGAAAGCTCTATTTGTGTGAAAAAAAGATAAAAATTTCATATGGGTACAGTGTTGTATGATCACGCAATTGTCATTCAAAGTGCAACAGCTCTGAAAGCTGAAAATTGGCCTGGGCAGGAAGGGGGGGAAAGTACCCTGTAGGCAAGGGGTTAAAGTGAAACTTTAAAGGAGAAGTACAGCCAAAGCTCTTTTGGCTGTCCTTCTCCTGTGATTTCAGGAGTGCAGTTCATTCTGCACTCCTGTGACCCATTTTCAGCTGACAGCGGACTGAAGTCAGCTGTTGACTGATGTCACTCAGTCAGCCCAGGCTGGGGAAAGATCCCGACTTCAAAGTCGGGATCCACCCCAGAGTCTGGAACAGCACCTAGCTTAGCCTCTCAGCGTGCCGCTGAGAGCCTGAGCCAGCCACTCCCTCCCCCTCTACAGCCCGGTGCTCCAGTAAGCATGGGGGGAGCAGAGCAGACAGCAGTGACAGTCTGCTTACCGCGGTGGTGAGAACTCGGCAATCAGCGATTATGTGATCTCTAAGTTCTGGCACGCTAGCCGGCAGGGGACAGATGCAGCATTGGACGGATACTGCATCCACCTAGGTAAGTATGATTTGGGAAAAAAACAAAACTCATACTTCTCTTTTAAGCCAGAATTAAGGATGGGCTAACAGGCAGGAATTTTAATACCGAGGAGACCTGCTTTGTCTCTTCTGCATTATAGATACTTGCTTGCCTGTCCGCCCACCCGCCCTTGTACAGTGAGCCACGCATGTGCAGCTCACTGTACAAATTTGGCAATGCCGAATCCGATTGAACTCCCACACATGCTTGGGAGTGACATCATCCCCCCCTGAAATTGAAACCCAGAAGCCAGCCGCCTGAAGATGTCAGAGAATGACCGGGGAGCTCAGAGACGTCACATTGCGGGTCCCAAAGTGACTATAGTTCTGTATTAAGGTGCTCAGCCCAATTGTTTGCATAAGGCTAACTGAAAATAATGTATTTTGGGGGATGAAGAGCATTTTAGAAGAGTGAAAAATGCAGTGTGATCTAGCAGAAATGTTCTTATTTGGGCATTTTTTCACATTTTGCCTTGTTTGTTTTTGACAAGCATTAGGCAATGAGTGTGTTTTATATGTCAGCTGTAAATACACTTAACAAAGTACATCAAGCCAAGTTCAAGTGGTTGATGTATATCAGCTTTACAAGTGTAATTCTTCCTACTCCTGGTGTGTGAGAATTAATAAACAGGTCCTCTGCTGGTTATGGGGCTCATAGTTGTCCCGTTGCATCATGTCTGCCCTCATCCATGTGAATTTGATTCCAAGTAAAGCATGTCATACACTTAACAGTTCACTGGCTCTGAAAAATGAGGAATTAATGAAGTGGATGGCGCTTTTTGCTTGCTGTCTAAATTTGTTCTGCGTAGAGGAGAATGCGGCAGCCTGGCAGCGAGGGTCCGAGCAGCTTAATGCTAGAAAAAATAACCGGGGCCTGGAACAGAGCTAATTTAGCAGCTAGCTTGCTGGAGGATTAGCTGAGGGCAAAGGGCATCTCCCAATTCCTACAATATTCCTTTGTGGAGGGATTAGCACGGTAAAAGTCACTGGAGGAGGAATTGAGAAGAGGAAGAATGACACTCTGTATTGTTCATCTAGGAAAGTAATTACCGCTTTATTTGGCACTGTTATACTGCGTTCCCTGTATGAACAACACGAACACAGTAGCCTCACAAGTAGCCTCACCCTCACCTAGCCGCAAGTAGCCTCACCTAGCCGCAAGTAGCCTCAGCTGTGGAGGGACTACAAGTCAAAGCATTAAAGATAGCCCTGGATACTCGCAGGTTGCCAGTGTCTAAAATATAGGCAATATAACCCTCCCATCCCCTTTACGTAATTGGTGGGTTTAGGGGCCACTGTTGAAGAGGTTTTATTTGGGTTTTCGCTCCATTACAAGTCTATGGTAATGCAAAACCTGTTTGAAGCAGGAAAAGTGCAGGATAGAAAGAGACAGAGAGTCACATGTACCTGTTAATGAACTGATGTGAAACTGATTCCACTGACACAAGTCCAAAGCCCGTAGACACTGGCTCCAAGACCTGAATATGTGACATGGTGGGTTCCAAGTCTTCTCTTTTCTGGGTTGCAAAGTGAGGGGGTCCTTCTTTAGGTGCCCGCATCTCTGCCTGGGTGACATAGACACTTTACTTTGGCTGGCCAGTGATTATTATTATTATACAGTATTTATAAAGCGCCGATAGTTCGCTCAGCGCTGTACATTACAAAGGGGGACAGATCATGTGACAGAACAATACCAATACAATGCAAAACATGAGGGGATTGAGGGCCCTGCTCTTTCGAGCTTACAATCTAGGAGGAAGGGGACAGTGATGGGGTCTTCTCAGGCTCCAGAAGACTGCAAAAGCGTTATGATGTCACGATGAGGGGCAGCATATTGACCTGTTGATGGCCAGCCTGGACTACAGTGCTTCAGTCCTGAAAGGTTTATTGTAATTGGGTGTGAAGGGATTATAACATTTGCTTGAAAGTGGACTTTAATATTTTCTAAAAAAAAAAAAAAGTGTGAATAAATCCTGCTGTCTCAGCTAAAAGTGAAATTCTGCCTTGTCCATGCAGGTTTCACATGAATGCCCCTGGCCCCTCAAAGCCACTTATTCTTTTCTCCCCTTCACCTGCTACTCATTTTAGCTGTGGAAGTGAAGAAAGGAAGCCCTGTTTTGACTCGACGTTTACACAGGACTGGGAGCTCTCAACCTTCCCCCATATGACAGCTCTTAGAATCTGAGCAATCAATTGCTATACACTAGCTTTTGTCACACGGGGGATAAGAAAGTGAATCACATGCCCCCCCATATTTAGATGTTCTTGGTATGTGTCTTCCATTCGGGGAGTCAGATGGAGTGGCGGGCAAGCAAAGGGAAGGTGATCGTGTGCAGACTGAGACTCTAGTGATCCCTGTACCATTACAAGGAGGTTTCTACTCTGCTTGACGAGCTTTGAATTTCAATCTATGGAGAAATAAAGCATTGCAACACCTCTTTTGTGGCAAAAGTGATAACTGGGAACACAGACAAGATTATGGCGGGGTGATTTTGCCGCTGGAGTTGCCAAAGACGTAGAAGTCATCAGAGTAGGTTCCTTCACCCTATACAGTGGTTAGTTGTAAGAGCATCAATACAGGTAGACTGTAAAGCTGGCCATAGTTGGATTGTCTTTTTGATCAGGCTGATCAAAAAAAAAACAAATGGATTCCCCCATCCACACAAGTGACTTTAATGGGGAGAATCCTCCATGTTGCACTATTGTATCCTGACAGCGGGGACTTCTCCACTGTCAGAATACGCTGATCAGCTCTGTAGGACTGACTGAACAAAAATGTACCTACACTCCTGTTTGAGTCTATCTTTAGATCGATTCTTCTCAAATGGGAACAGCCATAGATGGATCTAAATTCGGTGGGTCACTTCTAACCCGGCTGAATTTCGATCCATCTATGGCCAGATTAAAGCAGCCTCAAGAATTCATTCTCCAGCTCCATTTTAAATCTAGATATTTGAAGGGTCTTGTTCCTATCTGC